GCTCCCAGTGCTTCCCGCCCACTGGTAACCCTGCCAATCATCACCTCCCCCTCCTCCCCACACCTCCCGATCAGCTGTTTTGTATTGTGCAGGAGGCTCTGGGGCGGAGGGGGAGGAGCGAGGGCATGGCAGGCTCAGGGGAGGGGGTGGAAAGGGGTGGAGTAGGGGCAGGGCCTGTAGCAGAGCCAGGGGTTGAGCAGTGAGCACCCCCTGGCACATTGGAAAGTTGGCGCCTGTAGCTCCAGCCCCGGAGTCGGTGCCTATACAAAGAGCCGCATATTAACTTCTGAAGAGCCGCATGTGGCTCCGGAGCCAAAGGTTGGCCACCTGGGTTCTAGAGTGTACACCCACAAAGCATTAGTCAGACAGGCAGTCTCATTGATCTCAAATGTCCAAATAAATAAAAAAAAAGTTCACGAAGACTTAAAACTGTTCTGTTTCCAGGGTCGGCTCTAGGCACCAGCAAAACAAACTGGTGCTTGGGGCGGCACATTTTTAGGGGTGGCATGGCCGGCGCCAGAATGCCGCCCCTAAAAATGTGCTCCGGCCGCCCTAGCTCACCTCCGCTGCTGCTGCTGCTCGCGCGCCGTGGCAGCTCGGGATCTCCCCCTCCCTCCCAGGCTCTCAAACCTGGGAGGGAGGGGGAGAAGCGGTGTCCGTGCCGCGGCCACTCGGAGTCTCCCCCTCCCTCCCTCCCTCCTAGGCTTGAGAGCCTGGGGGGAGGAGGCAGGGCTGGGGATTTGGGGAAGGGGCGGAGTTGAGACGGGGCCGGGGGTGGGGTAATTAAAAAATCGGGGGGGCCAAAATTGTTTTTGTTTGGGGCGGCAAAAATCCTAGAGCCGGCCCTGTCTGTTTCAGTAGTTTTCTAAGCAGACCAATTCTTCATTTTTCAAAGTGTGACTAAGCTAACCCAACCAAAATTGGCAACAGAAATTAATTCCTCCAAACTGAAAAACAAAGCCAAAAAATGGTAAAAAAACAACAACCCACCACTGCATACAGCCTTTCTCCCCCTCTCCCTCCCCCCATACATGTACATAATACATGTAGAATTTGGAGAAAATAAAGATTTGTTTGAAAAAAGTTAATTTTAGTAAATTCATTTCAGAAAAATAGCTACACTTAATTTGCTCTAGGAATGCAAAAATAAGTCGAAATTTTGACACTCCAGTTACGTTTTTCCCACCTGTGTTACTCAAGGGTGTGTTTTTTTAAGTCAATTTTTCTGACCAGGATCTGTGTTACATCAACTAATCACTTTTGCAAAAGCAATTGAGCTATCAGTTCTCATGGTCAGTTCACCAGGCATGTGTAGTATGGTTTAAAAAGAATTAAACAGCAATCTCTTTACTTTGATACCATTACACAAAACTGCATTGGTAAAGAAGGTAATGTTTCATTTGATGAAAAGCCTTCCCTCTAATAACACAGATCAAAACTCAGCAATCTATGGCAAGTCTACTTAAAAAGGAAATAAATATAGGAAGTTCCACAACAAAACTGCATTTAAGTACAGGAATAGAGATCTGGGCTTTAGACATAAACTTCCATTAAATGTGTCC